GCAGTCAGCAGTCAGCAGTCAGCAGTCAGCAGTCAGCAGTAGTAGTAGTAGTAGTAGTAGTAGTTAGTAGTAGTAGTAGTAGTAGGAGGAGGAGGAGGAGTAGGTAGGTAGGTAGGGGTCAGCTAAGCTTTACGCCACCTGAGAAAGCATTCAAAGAACTTCAGGTGGCCTAAGCCCCGGCCTGCCCTGCAACAGAACAAAAAGATATAAGAATAAGCAGAAGCGGTTCCTCCTCACGCCCATCAACACCTTCAGCTTTGTCATTGTCATCATCACCGTGATTTTGTTGACAATCTTTCAACTGGTCTAAGCTCGGTGGGCTAAGCACTGTAGCCGATTCACTAGCAAGTTGATGCGCAGCTGTCATTGCAGGAATAAACCTGTCCATATTTCGAAGATGTATTGCCCTCAGCAAGCAGGACAGTGCTGGCAGTGCTGGACTCAAAGAACTAGGAAGTCTAGTCTAGTGGCAGTTTGCCTGAGAAAAAACAAAAGGTAAGAAGACTAAGACAAAAAGATGCCAGTGACAGTGACACCAGAGCACAAAGTTGTGAACAGGTAAAGCTGGTGTATGGTGTAAACCGGTCGCCCCATACCCATGACAGTCCGCGGTCGCATAACTTCTATTTGTCCAGTTTGTTGCTGCATTTGGCAAAGCAGCGCCATGCCTTTCTGAAATTCTTCTATCTTGCAGGGACAGCAGTCGGTGCCGGAGAGTACGTTTAAAAAAAAACACACCCCCAAAAAATCACTGGATCCTTAACCGGTGCCGCCGAATTTGGAGGGTGAAGTTTGTTTGCCACACGCCTGATCTCCTGTCCCGTGTCGCAAGACTGGTTCAGCGCTGAGCATGAAGGATTCATAAGCTCTTTTGGCCAGATCACAGGCCATTGCTTGCCAGGGCTAACGACAAAAAAGTAAAATGGTGTCTTGGTATCTTGGGGTTGGGTTTATGTCATGGAAGCATTTAGTAGTTAAGCCATCCATATCTAAAACAAACACAGAACCCTTGCCCGGCCCCCAGTTCTTTAAGCTTGTGCTTTGCAAACGTGTTTGCATGCTTGCATGGTTCCGAGTTGCGAGCCATTTGTGTAGCTGTCTGTCAAACAGTCTTCAACCACAAAGCAGCAACAATCCTCAACCAACCTTTCCATCCTCGTCCTTCGCTCTACATTATCGCAACCTTGCCTCGTCTAGATGTCTGTAAGATCTCCACATATGGGACTGTCGCTCTGTATATACCGTTGCCTTGTTTGAAATACACCCTAATTAGTCCATCCCTATTGTTTCTTTGCCCAAAAAGCACTTGCGCTATATGTGTTGGTTTCTGATGTCTTCTTCAAACGCCCTCATCTTGCGGATATATTTTTGAAATCCCTGAATTTTCTCCAATGACTTTTTAAATTTAGCACTTTTGACCCACGGGATTCCACGTGTAAGGTGTGTGGCCCCTGCGAGAGATGACACACATCCGGCCACCACGACTTGCCAAGGATGCGGTCCACATCGACACACATCCCACCGTGGCATTCTTCAGTGGCGGCAGGCCTTTCATACCACACATCAAAGTGCATGGAATCCGAATTGGCATGTAAAACCTGTCAGGCATAAATGCAACCAAATACTGTCAGTATGAACTGCGCCCAAAACTTCAACCTTAAGTACAAACCGACCTGCCAACAAAACAATCAACTGCAACCAGTGTTGGGTTATGATGAGTGGTGTATGATGAGTGATGTACGATGAGTCTTGTATGATGAGGGGTGTACGACGAGTGGTGAATGATGAGTGGTGTATGTTGAGTGGTGTATGACGAGTGGGACCCACGTGTGGAGTCCTTGTACATCCCGACGTCTCGCCAGTTCTCCGCTTCCAGCTCTACAGATTGCTCCGCGTACTAAAGTTGGACTAGAAAGTCGCCAGTTCTCACCATCCAGCTCCACAGATACTCCGC